TTTTTTTTTTTGTTTTTTTTTTTTTTTTTTTTTTTTTTTTTTTTTTTTTTTTTTTTTTTTTTTTTTTTTTTTGCAACGGAAGGTTGCTTTGTTTGAATTCAAAGCTACTATAGATGATTTTGTCCATGGTTCTCCTTGTAATTACATTTCTTGCGGTGGGTGTAATAGCAAGGCAATCAAGGAGCCTATCTCCCTCATTTGTACCAATAAGAAGTGTGAAGGGAATGAAGTTGCAGGCGTCCCTCAGTAAGTGTTGCATATATATTTTCTTTTACATATTGCCTCCCTAATTTGTCAACTTCTTTCATTGCAGATATCTGACCAAGGTGTCTGTTTATAATAGGAGTGAACAAGCCGTCTTTGTGGTGATGCTGGGAAAGAGTTGACTAGGAAGCATGCATCTGAGTTAGTAGCCAATTCCTTTGAGGTAATTTTTAAACTGTATACACATAGCTCCATATTATTGCAACTCATAATTGTTTTTCTTGAATATTAGTGTAATGGCGTAGGACATGATGAATGCGTGCCTGTGCCCCAAGCTTTACTTGATGCAATAGGTCAGACACGGAGATTCATTGTGAAGGTCTCGGATCACAATTTCACAGGCAAGATACACGCCGTAACTGCTACGAAGATACTCCCACCAGAAGCTCCACGCCCTGTAGCAGGTTTGGAAGGTGAAGGTATTCCAGCTATTACCGGTGATGTGTTGAAGACTGGTAGTGACGAATCTGGTCCTTCCAGTGGTTTTGAGTATTCTGGTGGTGATAAGATTCGCAAAGCATCTGAGAGTATTGGCACAGAAGAAGTCAAGCGGTCCAAGAGTGGCTAATGGAGCTCTGATTTATCCTCTTGTGCAGTACTTTTTTCCCTGCATTTTAAGTACTACTTTTTTTTTTTATCTAACGACTTCCCCATCTTCATATTTCAATCTTCGGACCTTTTTCTATTGGAGATACTTTATGTTTCTATCCCTTTAGCCTATTTTTTAATTAAGTTTAGATTGTTAAATGGTTTTAGTTCGTCATTACATCATTACAAGGAACTGGTACGTCACTTAAACATTAGGGAGTACTTAAATTGCGAACAACACCTACCAACATCATTTTCTTAAAATTAAAAGGCCATGAAACGGATGTGAAGGTTGTGTAAATATATAAACACGATCAATGTGCACCAGATATTTAGGAAATATATATAAGCATGATCAATGTGCACCAGATATTTAGTATTAACTGAGTTGACTAGATTTAGGTGAAACTCATTCGTATAATATCTAATGACCATATTTGGGCCAGTATTCACGTCCTTCTCCTCTTCCTACATAAAAGTCAAAGATCTTCTCGAGAACACACATTTATAAAAAACCTACTGATTCCTGCAGACACAAACTAAGATCAGCCACAGCACCAAAGCTGACCAAACAACCAGATTACAACAGGTAAGTTTTTTAATCACATTAAACTGTGCACAACCTCCCACTGCTTTAGAATATTTATGCCCACCAATTTTTAACTGACTCTTTGGATTGCTTTTACATATTCTGTTTGTTTTTTCCCCCTTGGTCAAATTGTGTCTGATTTTACTAAGGATTCTACATTCATATGCTAACTACTTTTCTATCTGTTTAATACCAAAATTAGAGGGACCCATTATTAAGTTTTAATGATTTTCGAAACTACTAATTTATATAGATTGCTAATTTTCGCTGGTTCACCTTGACCCGGTGTTTAATATAGTACAATTAGATAGGATGATAAGATAATAAAATAATAACATTTCTAAAACTACATGTAATTATATAGTCCCAATTAAATCATTTATTAAATTTGATAATATTGAGTAAAATTATATCAAAACTAACGTCAAAATACGATGAAAATTAAAAATACACCAACTAATATCGTAAAACAATATATAAATAAAAAATCATAAAATGGAGCTATGTATGTACAATATATTCAAATATTTCGTATGATCAGTTAGTATTTTTGGAAAATGTAAAACTTAATTTTTTGTGTAGACGGTAATGTTAAAATATAATTTATATTGCTTAATGGTGTCTCCAATAATACAAATTTTGCTACATATTCTCTTTGTAACTAACCAAACTATTCTGCAGAAGAAGAAAAAAGTATCATAATCCATAAAAAAAAAATAACACAACATTACTCAGGAGGGTTTCCCACCTTCACATGAAATTGGGTGTTAAACTTTATTTTTCATCTCCAACCATCACATTAAACTTTACACGAAAACATTTTTTAAATATTTAATAACTTTTTAATTTTCGTAATTTTTAGAATAATTATTTGTAACTGATTTATTATATTAAATTATTAAAATTGGTAATTTTTATTTTTATTTATATATATTATTTTCGTTTAGTAAATTTATTCATATTTATAGTTTTGTATTTTAAATATTATTTAATATTAATTTTTTTTTACTTTTGAAAAAGAAAATCATTTTTATTCTGTTACAGTTTAATGTTACTGGTAATGCTCATTTGGTTATATGATTAGTTAAAAATATAAGTACAATAATATGGTATAACTATATGTTAAACTAATTGATAAAACTAATCAGTGTATAACTAAATAAAAAGTAATAAAATACATTATTTAAATATTTTCTATGATAAATAATATTTAACAGACGACTTTCTGTTTATTAGAATTAATAATTTAAAATTAACATATTTCTAAACTAATATGTATCAATATGTCATATTGATCTAGAAACAAACGTTTTAGTATTGGTTGAGATTATTAAAAATAACGTTTTCACTATAGGTTAGTTCCTCTAAGATAGGCCATAGGAAATAAACTATATTTATTAATCATATGGTTAAGTCGATGATGATAAAGTTAAATATGGAAATCTAGGTGACATATTTACAATTTATAGTTCATTTTGAGAATTTATAAGATTCTATGAGCTTACCAAATTCACATTTTGGTAGTGACATTTCCCGTGCAACTTCAAAACGGGAATTAAAGAATCCACCAATTTCAAAAGGGATTTCAGTGCGTCTTATAACGGTATGTATAAGAAGTATTTGGGACATCAAAAACCACCAAACCAAAGATATCCATAATTGTACCGGTTTCATATGCTACGACCACGATGTAAACCGTTAATTAAAACTTTAACAATTACATAAATATGTTTTTCCCCATCTCGGCATATTTGGTTTAAACTAATCAATATTCACTATATTGGTTCGACACGAAAAAATGTACATATTCAGGGACAAATTTTGGAAGGTCGACTCAGCAGAAACATACAAACAAATGATCGGAGATATTTAGTCGAATGATATATAAATCAATTTTCAGGATTTTCTGTCCTACACAATTCACAACAACAGAAGCTACATCCACCTTCCGTATTACATTCAGATCGAGAAAGAGACAGCAGTGTTGAGAGTTACGGACATGGATACAATCTTTCCGGTTCACAATTTCTCTCAGAATTACAAAAGTCTATTGTGCTTAGCCACAACACCCACCTATTTACCAGGTAATTCAATCATAACAATTCCAATTAAACAAACATGTATTGTTTTCCATAATAATAAAAAAATTGCCCAGATGTCGTCGGACAAATACTTATTATGCAAAGAAGAAATTCATTCCATCCAGAACTAAATACAGAGTTCACCATTGGTCTATTACTGAACAAGTGATTCTAACACAATAGAAAAAACAAAAACAACCCTAATCCTCAAACATAAAACTCTATCTCAGGTCAACAGTGATTAAGCTAACGCTGTGGAATAAACAAGCAGCAGCTTTTAGCATCGTCCAGAGTGAGAAGGATAGGAAACTTAAATTTGTCATCTTCACAAGCATAATTCCTAAAATAAGAAAAGGTAAACTATTTTTTTAAACAAATATTAATTAGACAATATATTTTTATCCTCAAAAAAAAATGTACAATATTTTGCAGGCAAACTACAACTCAATTCATCACCAGCAACAAAATTCTACTTCAACAAATCAATCAAATGCATAAAACATTTCAAAGGACGAGTAAGAGATCAAGCTAAATCCTGAAGTGCAAATCGAGTTTATCCCATCAAAACCCACATGGGGAAAACTCAAAAGCAAATACGCTTTTCAAACCATCACTCCGTTTATTATTCAGATACTCACAACTATTTGGATTTATTGTGTTTTCAGGCAATTTTTAAATCGGTTATTTTATGATACAATTTTGATATACAAACAACACAATAAATTCAACTTTATAAAAAGATTATATGTGTCAAATGCAACAAATTATAAACATGTAAAAATTGGAAATTTCCAAAACATATTATCCGCGCGTAGCGCGGAAAAAGGATCTAGTCTATTATAATAGTTGATTGATATTTACTTTAAATTTTATATTAATTTATAGTTTGTATGTATAATTTGTATTAATAATATTGTATTATTTTAGTTATTATAATTTTATATATATTAGATTTACTCAGTTTTATCATTTGGATATATATATATATATATATATATATTGGATTTTTTCTATTTCTATGAATTCAACTATAATTTTTTTTTTTCTAAATATCTTAAATTTTTGATTAATTATTTTATTTACATTTATGTTGGTTGTTATCTACGAAATATAAGTATATCTTAGTAAGATTATGTATTTTAATATTTTTTGTCCTTAGAACGAAAAAAATAAAAACTAAAGTGTCTGATTCTAAAATACATAAGTAATAATAAATTTTTTAAAGATTTTGAACACATATCAATATTTACAATAATTAAAATATTTTATAAATTCTAAATAATTTATGCCACAGATTGATTGGATGATAAACTGAATTTTTTTAAAATAATTTTAAAAATAAGGAATTCTGATTTGTTTTAAGTATTAGATTATGGTTATATTAAATTCCACAAACATAAAAACAGAAAATTAAACATCAAAAGAGTTATTAAGAAAATAGATAATTTTAACTATTAATTATAATATATTTACCTTGTTAAATTATAGTGTTATGATATATAAAAAGAATTGTAGTTATTTGATCAAAAGATGTTTATTATTAAATTTATTTTTAGTTTTTTTTTTTAACATCTATTAAAATATGCAGTAAAAATGTGATTGTTTTTGAGAAATTATATTATATAAGTAAAATATAATTTATATTTTTTGGCTGTAATTGTAAGATATTATAATCAAATAAACATACTAAAAAAATATTGCAATAATACTAATTATAATTTTTTGTCAATTAAACATATATCAGTTTATGTTAGTTAATTATTTTATGTAATCATCTAATAAAATAGATAGATATATCAAAAATAATTAATTTGAAAATATATATTTTATAGTTTAAATTATTTTTTTAAAGAAAAAGTATTTGTTTTCTAATATCAAGATTATTTGTATGAACTTTTATAATGAAAACACATTATATAAAAATATTTTTTTCATCTAGGAAGATATAGATATAAAGTAATTTATTACTTAAAAGTATAATTTATGTTATTTAAAAATATATCTAAGTTAAATATTACTATTTTGTAAACTTTCCTTTTTTATGAAACCATATTATATATATACTTATTTTTCGTTTTAAATAGTTCTGTAAATTTTATAAATATTTCCTTTTTATTTTAATTGTTATTTGGAAGATTTTAAAAAGGAAATAATAATATTTAAATATATTTTTAATTCATTAGGAACATTACTTTATTAAGCACAACTCCAGGCCCTGATGAAATATTAAGGTCTAAGGCTGCTGCTATGAATCGAAAATTAGAAAAGTATTGGTCTCCATTTGTTGAGAAAGTTGAGTTGAATAAGATGATCATTGTCGCTGGTGTTCTTGATCCAAGCAAGAAGATGAAGCTTGTAGTTAAGTGCTTCGAGAAATTGTATGGAGTAGGCAGTGTTGAGGTTACACTTTTGACTGCTGAGACCAAAGACCTCTTGAGAAGCTTGTTTGATGAGTATAACAGCCGAATTATCAACAACGAGGCTTCTGGTGGTCAGTCTGTTCATAGTCAGTTTCATAGAACTTCATCTCAGTCCCAAGATCAATTTGTAGAAGAAGCATCTCAACAGACCGTACTTGGGAACAGACTAGCTTATGAAAGCATGAATGACCTCTATCTTGAGCTTGTGAATGAAGCAGGGGTTCAAGAAACAACAGATGAGCTAGATGTGTATTTGAAAGAGAGTGTGGAGTTCCCAAAATGAATCGATGGTACTGAGTATGATGTACTCTCATGGTGGAAGGTTAACAGTCCTAAGTTTCCAGTTCTCTCAAGAGTAGCCAGAGATATACTTGCAATGCAAGTGTCTTCAGTAGCCTCCGAATCAGCCTTCAGCACAAGTGGGCGTGTACTAGACTCAAGCAGAAGCTGCTTGACACATTTTATGATAGAAGTCTTGATGTGCACGGAGCAGTGGTTCAAATGTGAGATTAAATTCAAAAGAAAAGGAGTCATAAGGAAGGAACAAATGCTTTCTGAGTTAGAGAATCAAGATGAGCTTATGAGAGGTAAAAAATTCTAATAGATTTATTTACTTGATGCATTTTACTTTGGATTACTAACCTTGACTTATTCTTTTTTTATTTTGTAGAATTTGAACCTGCTTTCAAGCAGATTTGGTAAGTCTGTACTCTCTACTGTCTTGTGCTATCAAATTTGAACCTAGTATAATCTCGAGTACCATTCTCTTATATGATGTATTGCAAATGTTCAGACGATTTGATGACGTTTGGATGTTGGACTTGGAGATGCAGCTAGTATGATGGATCATGGAACTTTAATTGCAAGCTGGCTTTTGTTTTATGTTTCTGAGACTTGATCACTTCTCGGTTATGTTGTTTTGTCTTTGATACTTTGAGTTTTTGAGACTTGAGAATATGATATTAGGATCTCTGTTTTCTGTTTTGTTTTATTTTTGAACAACTTTAACTTGGCCAGGTTCTATGGTTACTGCACTATTGTAGGTTTTCAGATTGTTTTTTCGTTATGGTTACTGCTCTTTTTCAAAACTGCAGGTACCAAACTGGCGGGTAAAATCACAAGTCATGGGTATAAATATACCCGAAACACATGTTTTAGACCAAAAAATCTATAGAACCGACCCGACATATCAGGACCCGACCCGAAAATGTGACATATACCCGAATATGGACCCGACATACCTGGACCCGACCCGACATGATAAAGAACCGAAATTTTTTGGGTATTAACGGGTATAAGAAATGTGAACCCGAACCGACCCGGACCCGATAAGACCCGACCCGGAACCGACCCGAATTTTTTGAAGTACCTATGTGGGTCTAAACTTTAAGGACCCGACAGACCCGGACCCGAGAAGACCTGACCCGAGCCCGACCCGAGGACCCGGATGCCCAAGCCTACCACCTACGATAATGATTGAGTTCTACGCGTCCGATTGCGGCATCAGCATAGCATGTGCCGTCGGGTTTTCCGTCACCAACTTCACGTAATCCAAGCAGAATCCACATCCATCGGATCTATCCCCCAACCCACCTTCTATCAGCTTCCCGTGCACCTTTTCCGCCGACGAGCGTCTGTCCTGTCTTCGCGGTAAAGTAAAAAAGATGAAGACAGTAGGCCTACACAAAATGAATTTGCAGCCCATCAACCCAAACTTAATAAATCAAAATACGTTAGAACCCAACAGTGTAATGGAAAGGAGGGTTTTTGGCACGTGGCAAACTCTCAAACAATGAAATAGTGACTTGGAGGCATCAAATGAGGGAGAACTCTACTTTATATAATTAGAGATCATAACATATTTGCTAAGAAACTACCATTGGACCTGACCTAATAGTGAGGGGAAATTTACTAACTTGTATATATACGTTAAATGATGGTCCAAAGCATAATCAAGTAAATCAGATCCAATGGGCTATGGCGTCATAACTCTAAAGGCCCACGGAAATGGACTGATGAATGATGAAGCTGAAGATTCGTTCAAAAAAAAAGAAGAATGATGAAGCTGAAGCATCTGTCAGGTCAGTGTCTTCAGTTATTTGACACGTAGCCACTCGCACATTCTAGATTTATCCATCTGGAACTTTCCAGTTTATTGGCTTATCTCTCTTTATAAGTTTGGAGCGAAACATCACCAACATTCAATCAAATCATAAGTCTACAATACCAAGAAGATTCAATCGAAGACAGAGATATGAGTGCTGTTGCGATCAACCACTTGTTTGGTTTACCGGAGACGATCGAGAAGCTGATCTTCCCAACATCCCGCTCCGGTGAGGGTAACGAGACTCGAGGAGGAAGCAACAACAACATCCCAATCGACATTCTTGAATCTCCCAAAGAGTACATCTTCTACGCCGACATACCGGGACTCTCCAAATCCGACATCCAGGTATCTATATATAAACACACATGAAGGAGACACGTGTAAATTGATTATTAACGGCGAGCTTATGGTTTCGTGGTGTGATGTTGAATAGGTAACTGTAGAGGAAGAGAGGATACTGGTGATAAAGAGCAACGGGAAGAGGAAGAGAGAAGATCACGATGTGAGCGAAGAAGGATGCAAGTACATAAGGCTCGAGAGGAGACTTCCTCAGAATCTGGTAAAGAAGTTCCGTTTACCTGAAGATGCTGACGTGGAGGCCGTCGTGGCTAAATATCAAGATGGGGTTTTGACTGTCACCGTTGGGAAAGTGCCGCCACAGCCACCTAAGTCTAAGACGGTTCAGATCGCTGTTTCTTGAACGGTTTAGAAAACAGACCGGTTTATGTACGTGTTTTTGTAGTTTGTAAAAAAACTGTGTTTGTTTTGGTCTGTAAAAGCCCAGTGTTTCAACTTGAGCGCTATAATCAAGATTTGTGATCCTCTGGGTCACTAAGAATTTACAAGCCCGAGCTAGCTTTTTTTTTTAACTTCAGTGACATATACGAATTATTCCACAATATTACCATTACAAAACCAAAGTCATGGTCCCAAAACTGAATGCTGTTTGTAGTAAGTCTGTGTCATGTTGTATTAGTTGTTATCAAGATTTATGGGTCTAAATACTAAATGGGCCCTCGGTAACGCGTGATGATAACATTGGGACCATAGCTTGATGAAGAGTTGTACTGCGGGATGAGGTCTTTGTCATTGTGTTATCTTACGGGACCATAGCTTTTGATGAAGAGTTGTTTTCGTGTCACGTGGTCGAATTTTAGGGGTCTTAAAAATGTGTTCACCTCGAGTCATTGAGTGAGATTTCTAGATGTGGTTGAGTAACGTTGAATCCAAGTAAATGATTCAGAGTGATACTAGACCGCACCATTCCATATGTGATCAAAGTTTGTAGAATTGGCAAAATAAAATTGTGATGTTGAGTTAGAAAAAAAAAAAACTAAATAGGTCCGTTATTGGTTTTTCTTAGCCTCGAAGCTGATTATTTTATTGCAAAACTTAAACAAAGATATCTAAGTTTCTTGTCTAGTTTATTATTACAGTAGCTCCAGGCTTTTTGATCACATATTGCAAACACAAATCTTAGATCATAAAGGAGAAAGCTTTGTCAACCAGGGAAAGCCACTGATTCTCCATCTCTGACTCCATCTTAATATCATAAAGAGACTCTATCTTCATCTGTCTCGTCCTCGTGGCAGCCATAGCTTCCTGTATCTCAGCTAAGATGATTGAAGTGTCCAGAGGAAGGACTAGAAGCTCCCTCAGATTGTTCGGTCCAACCACTTCCGGATCTGCTCCCCACATCAAATGCCCCACCTGAAGATTCCCTTCCTGTGTCAAATGCTTACCGTCGAAGAAGAGATAGTCTTCAGGCTTGGCGCATACATTGTTAATCGAGCAACTGGTTCCATTTACAGAGCCAATTCCACAACAAGCAGCCATTCCAGTCTCAAATGCTGCATCAGAAAGTATAAATGTCAATTATAAAAAGAAAAAAAATTATAAATGTCACAAAATGGTTATTATGTATTTACGATGTTAATGAGTAAAAAAGACTTACTGTAAGTCTTGGGCTTGATAACTCTGTTTTGGATAGAGCTGTAGAAGTCGTAAAACGAGTACTGGAAACCACTGAGTTGTCTTGAAAGCTCAACCAAGAGCTGCAGCAGCTTCTTGTTATGCAAAGCCGCCATTTCAGAAGGCAGCCTCACGCAGTCTTGAACGTTCCCGTTCGCTTGTTTCACAGCCGGTAAGCAACCCAACGGTGCTAAGTTCTGGAATGCGAACTTCCTACCTCCAGACCCGTAAATCACCTGAAAATCAAGTCTGATGAGAGAACAAACCGCATAAAAAGAGTTGTAGCTTCTGTGGCCAACGAGGAGTTGACTTAGTGTTGACTTAGTGACTAAACCTTTTGGATCATATCTAGTGCGGTTCTAATGAATCACGGATTCAAATCTTGTTGGGAGGGATGTGCTCTATAAATGACAGTTAAATCATGGTTTAGACTTGGTTCTAGGAAGATGAACGTATCCATATGTTAAGTTAGATGGGATTAACCTAAAATGATACTCTTTTTTTGAAACGTTTTAATTTTTTCACATATAAACATAAATTTTAATTACCAATACATTATTTATTACAGATAACAAATCTATATATTTTTAAACCAATAAAATTTTAAGAAACACAATTAATTTTTTTAGAATCTACAATTTTTCATTAAAATTATACATTGAAAATGTAGAAAATACATATTTTTGAAACAAATATTATTTTTAGAATGTTCATTTTTTTTTAAACGGAGGGAATATATGATATATGATCGATAAGACAACTTTGGATCGGATATGGAGGATTGAACTGTTTGGATAGGGTTCTGATACATGTTAAGTTTTTTGATACAATGTTAAGTTAGATAACCTTCTAATGTAAAACCAACTGGATTGACTTATCCACTTTATATATTATTTGGATTGTCTCTCATACCATAATTTCTTAGTCATGCAAAATTATTTAGTAGCTTATGTGATTTGTGTACCTTCAGTTCTGCTTCTACAGCAGTGATGACTTGATCCACAAAATCTTGTTTCTGAACATCAGAGGGGTTTGGATTGTTCTTGACATACTTCAAGTAATCATCAGAGCCGATGTAGAACAAGTAGACAGCTTCCGAACGTGCTTGAGCTGACCATTTGTTCTTGTTTTCCGTAAACTTAATCACTTGTTGTGACAAAGTCAACTGTCGGCAAAAAAAAAAAAATCTGTCTAAGCGTTGACTTATTCTGAGATCTAGAATTCTTCACACTTTAAGTATGTCTCTACACTAGATCAATCGTTTCTAAAAAAGAAAAAGAAAAAGAAAAAGAAAAACTGACCGTGTCCTGAGGGGAGCCGAGAACGGTGGCGTCGGCGATGGCGAAGTTAGCTCCGTGAGAGAAGTCCGCCGCGACGCTGAGAATCGGAGAGATGCGAGGAATACCCATGAAACTAGCTGCTTATAACAACCGACAAGATGAGAATAAATCCGAGTAATGGAGTTTAGAGTTGATAAAGAACATAGTTACCGAGGTAGTCTGGGACGACAAGACCATCGGACCACCGTCCCGTAGCTTCTCCAAGAGTTATTCCATAGGGAGGAAAGCTGGCGTCAACACGGTTAGTAGAGACGAACTGTTTGTTGCCGGCGTCGTAAAGACCGTCGCCGAAGATGAAGAGTGTCTGGGCGAAGGAGACGGTGGGGAAGTGAAGAAGGAGGAGAAGTGAGAAGAAGGAGAGAGAGAAGAGGTGAGATTTGGGATTCGCCATTTCTTTGATCATAGTTTCTATCGTCAGTGGTTGGTTTAGTTTAAACTACGGCGAAGCCACGTGATCAACGTTTCCATTTGCTTATAACAAAAATTTTGTTTTTTTGTTTATTACCATAAACAATGTTTTGACAAACAAAAAGACAAAATAGTGATTTTTACCAAAACAAATTGGTTTCTTTCATTATAACTTATTACACTTAAAGATTTTTTTAAAAAAAAAAGAATAATTGGAAAAAGTGAGAGAACGACAAAGAGACGATTCTTCCTCGTATGCAATCGTTCTTCTACGTGTTATTATGTTACTAGATTTTTTATTTTATTTAATATTGGTTGATAATCTATTACCACAATAACTATTAATTTATACTTTCTTTATCTCACTATTTTAAATTCTGCACACAGATTTAAAACAACATTTAGTTTTATATATTTTATAGACAAAAATACAGTTACCTATATACCATATTTCAATCAATCAAAAAAATAAATCAATAAATTTTGTCTTAAAATTATAAAATGATATTTATTTTAAACTAAAAATTTTATCTACAATCTATATATATAAAGAAAAGTTCTCTCCCTCTTGGGAGAGCCACGTCATTAAATCCTTCTCTCAAAGCATGACATGTGTCCGAAGCTCTGCATTTCATTAACGTGACCGTGAATGGGCTTTCTTCGTCCTAAGTGTGATGGGTTCTGAGTAACTATGTTGCGTTTGGCCCAGGAGAGAAGTAGTTCACGTTGTAACCCTAATTGCTCGATCAAGAACTGCGTATCGTCTCTCCCTTCGTGTGCGGCGACGCATGAGGCCTGAGCTTCCTTTCCCTTAACTTCATCTTTATTCCAATTAATTCCATCTCAAAATCATCTATTCAATCCTCTCAATCATAACCTTCTCAAAAAAAATCCAGACAGAATGTCTCTCCACTATCCTCCTCCGTCAAGGCTGCCTCCCTCTTGCGATGATAACAGAATCCTGTCGCAACCTCTCTCTTGCGTAAGATCTTCATTATAATCCAGATATTTAAAAACAAAAAAAAACATTTTATAAATCGCACATGATCCGGTTTAGTTGTCTGGCCATTTAGTTGTTTGGCTTGAAAATTATATTTATTTGAGTTACTCAATAGATTCTCGCAATAGCATCGTTTTGGAATAATTGCAGACGCATCTGAGAAAAGAAACATGAGCTGAAGCATAGAAACAATGAGGTTAAGAGTTTCTTTTAACTCTTTGATTATGTTCTAACAAAACCATGTTGGATTTGAAAGGTCTGATTTTTTCTAAAAGATATATATTGATAATGATTTCGTCAAATTTTGCAGAAGCCGTGTGGCTGATCCACTGCTATTTAGTGTTATCTCTAATTCTTCATTCCACTTTCAGTAACCAATAAGGAGAGATAAACCAATTGGTACATCTATTAGAAGAAGAGGAACTGGCACATAAATCCATCTTCTTCCACTGTCTTCAAGAACAAACGCAAAAGGTATTCTTCAAATTTTATTATTATGTTGTCAATGCGACTTTGATTGGCCAGTGTTTGATTTGAAAGTCTGATCCTTTTTTTTGTTCTATGTGTGTTTTGGTGTATTGGGTCTTCTTAATTCTGTTATCTTAGATTTTTCTCTACAAAACCTTTGTTTCTCTTTGTGCTTCATGTTGAGTATAGTTAAGCAACCATAGTTGATCAAAAAAAAGTTAAGCAACCATTTTCTTATTAGTTGTAAAAATCGTTATAAACTCATTTCAAATGTTAATCTTGAATTAAAATGTTTGGTATTACCCTCTCTCAGGTAAACCAAAGAGAAAGTTGTTCAATTCTTCTCATAGAATAAGAAGACGCGCAAGTGGTTACATAGATATTAGAGAATAAGAATAATAACTGTAACAAGAGACCACACGCTTCACATGATCCAAAACCAGAAACAGGGAAAAAAAGAGAGGAAGCAACATCAACGTATCAGTGAGAGAAAGGACATAAACAATCAGTAGAGGACATATATGCAATCTGAAGAAATACTCTGATATGTCCAAAATGCCATAGCATGGACACGAAGTTCCGATATTACAACAACTACAACATAAACCAACCTTGCCAGTTTTGCAAAGCCTATCAGAGATACTAGATTGTCTGAGGAACTACGACTCTACGAGGACTGTGCCGCAGGAACAAAAGCTCATCCTCTCATTACGGCCACATCACAATCTTTGAGGCTCTAGAGTCTGCAAAGCTCGAACGGAGGTTACAGTCCAACACTCGAGTCCTGATTTAGTTTAGAAGCTCATCAGCAGCATGATAATCCTTCCCATGACATCTGTGATGAAGCTACAAGGTGACCAGCAAGTCTTAAGCGGAGCTTGAAATAGGTGGCTCGAGTAGAGAAGTGAGACGATTTCTCAAGCCGTGCCTATTTTACTACTTCTAACAATCACTCATTGGATGAATCAAGAGCACAAAGTTGTAGAGATAGTCTATCAATGTATGCTTTAAGTTCTCATCCACCATTTTTCTTATGCAAAAACTAGCAAAAAAAAAGGTAGAATACTTAATAAAATTTAAATCAGTTGTATATTTAACAATTATTTTGATCAAAATTAAATAAGTATGATAAAAACAATTAGATCATAATTATTCTCTACGTCAGATAAATGCATATTTTCTTTTCTAAAATATTTACATAGATATATTTCATTTCATTTTTAAAACAAAGATCCACAAGTTGGATAGAATTAATATATTTACATATCTTTAATAAACATTTTATTTTCAAAAATTCTAATACTGTTAAAAAATGCTACTATATTTACACATACATATTTAATTTTATTTCGCAAAAACAAAGACTCACAAATTGAAAAAGTTAATATATTACATATATTTGCTAGGCATTTTATTTTCAAAAATGCTATGAAAATATATCTTAAAATTTATAATTTTATTAGAATATATATTACATAGTCACATTAAAAATTTGTTATTAAAATAACTAAAAATAACTAATATAAGAAAACTTCATAATTCATCTTATAATGTTATAAATTATAAAAATTATATTAAATATTTATTTTAATTATTTAATTATTTTCAAATTATCATCCCGCCCGTAGGGCGGGCCGACCCTAGTGAAATATAAATTGAAACCGAAGGAGTATCATTTACAAGTACTTCAAATTCCATGATTTCAATTTTTATCTCATGAAAATATATTATATGAAATTTATAAATTATTTTTATGATTTACAATTCGAGAAAGAAATCTTCCCTCGGAAACATTTTTTAGAAGCCTTCTCGCACACAGAGTTATAATGATAAAAATTAATCCAAATTCAATTTGGCTATAAGAAATTGGTTTTAGTTTCACTGGGCTTTTGAATTACTTTTGTATTTGATTGAAGTTTGAATATATTTTTTGTATTTTAAAAAAAATCATAGTTGTAGTTAATCAGTTTTTAGAATCAAGCTGTGACTAGGAAAAATATTAAATATTATTAGTTGTAATTTAGAATGGCCATGGCACACAAGTGGAACAAGTCTTCTCGCACACAGAGCTACGATAATAAAAATCAATACAAACTTTTTTTTGGCTATAAGAAGTTGGTTTTAATTTCACTAGGCTTTTGAGTTACTTTTTCATTTGATTGAAGTTTGAATATATTTTTTATATTTAAAAAAAAAATTCATAGTTAATCAGTTTTTAGAATCAAACTGTGACTATAGGAAAAATATTAAATATTATTAGTTGTAATTTTGATTTAGGTTTAAATTAAAACTTAACAACCAGTTTTCAAGAGACCATACAAAACAAAAAAATAAAAATATGTCCTATACATATGCCATACGTATAATCATTTGTATAAATGATGTCCTAAGTTTTTATAAAAATATTTTATTTCGTAATTTCTAATTCTAATATTCCGAACAGGTTCTACCTATTAAAATTAAATAGAAAATATTAGAAAAATTTGTATCAAAGAAACAAGGGATTATGTATAGAGAAATTCAATAAAAAGTATGATACATTTTTTACTCATGTTATTTTTATTGGATTACACTAAATTTTATAATTTAAAAATTAAATTTTCACTGAAATACATAAGAATCATTTAATATCAAAGTGGTTAGAGACCTTTGGCAACATACTTCCTATTAATGATAACTAAAACGAAACTGAAGGAATAATATGTTATTGCACAACTACGAAATTTTATCAATTAATTTATAAATATTTAATGACTAAACAAATATTAATTATAAATTTAATATTTATATCAATTGTTAAAATATCTGTTGAGAAATATATAAAATATTACCAAAAATTAAAATTATTTGTATAGAAATGTAATTATGTAGTAAAATGAATTCAAAAATCATATAATCTTCCAACTCAAAAATATCTGTGTAGTTTTCCTAATTTGTTTTGACAAAATATACAATTTTGAAAATAAATATTTAAGCTTCTATTTCCAATTTTGCAAAAGATAGAATATAATAAAAAAAAACTTCTTGAAATGTAACACGAAAAAACTAATGCTGGGAAAATTAAAGTAATCTTATATTTTGAATTCTTAATTTAGTTACAAATTTTTTTTAATATTATAACATCCAAAAAATATTCTGTATCAATAAAATTTATTAAAATAATATGATATATGCTACTATATATACAATTCACTAAAATAATATGTTTATATTATTAAAACAAAATAGTGTTACACAATATATAACACTAAAATGAAAATGATATATTTTTAAAAAACTAATAACATAAAAATTTTACATTCATAGAATGAAAAATATCCGCACGAATGTGCGGGTTAAAATCTAATTTCATATTTAATTTTTACCTTACTTCCTGACCACAACATTTTGTTATGTGCCTTTTGACAACTTTTTTCTTTTTGAAAAAATTAGCAAAATGAAACATTTTTAACTTGAGTTGATCCCTAAGATTTTATCTAAAATTTTATCCTATTAGTACCATTATTCCTTAAATTAGTAATAATCTATTCTTTATTACTATATTCAAAATAAATTACGATGACAAAAAATACAATTTACCAAAAATTAATAAACATTAAATGTAAATGTATATGTCACAATTAACTTCAATTCATGTCATCGTTATTAGTATATCATGTCACTTTAAAAAAAAATTAGAGTGCTGATGACATATGACAAATCACTTTTTAAATAGTATCTAAGAAATAATATATTTATATATAAATTTTAATCTTGATTTTTTTT